ACCGAGGATTGAACTCAGGGGCACTTACCACTGGGCCACATCTCCAGTCCTATTTTGTGTTTTATTTAGAGACAGGGTCTCACTGAGTTGCTTAGCACCTCACTTTTGCTGAGGCTGGCTTTGAACTTGCAATACTCCTGCCTCAGCTTCCCAAGCTGTTGGGATTATAGATATGTGCTATCACACCCACCTTCTTCTAAGGGTTTTATAGTTCTGTGTTTTACATCTATTTTGAGTTAAGTTTTGTGAAGGATATAAGGTCTGTGGCCAGATTCATTTTTTTTGCATGTGGATATCCAGTTGTTCCAGCACCATTTATAGAAAAGACAGTCTTTTCTCCACTGTATTATTGCTTTTTCTCCTTTGTCAAAGATAAGTCAAATATATTTATGTRGGTCTATTTCTGAAAATTTTATTCTGTCCAAAGATCTATTTGTATATTGTTTCATCAATGCCATACTGTCTTGGTTACTGTGGCTTTATAGTTCAACATTTCCCCCTTACCTGCTGTTTTACCTTCCACAGTTTCAGTTATCCATAGTCAACCACCATCTGAACATATTAAATGGAAAATTCCAGAAATAAATAACTTATAACTTTTAAATTGTATGTCATTCTGAGTAGCATGATGAAATCTTGCGCTGTCCTACTGCATTCTGCTCAAGATATGAATCATTCTTTTGTCCAGCATATCCACAGTATATATACATTACACTACCATTTGTTAATCACTCAGTAGCTGTCTGGATTATCACATCGACTATTGCAGTATCTCAGTGCTTGTGTTCAAGTTACCCTTGTGTAGTAGCCCAATGCTGCATCACAATGCCTACATTATTCACCTCATTTCATCTCACCATGTAGGCATCATATCTCACATCATCACAAGAAGGGAAGTAAAGAACAATAAGCGAATTTGAAAGAGACCCAATTCACATAACTTTTTTTTACAGTATATTATTATCATCATTCAGTTTATTATTTGTTATCATTGTTAGCCTCTTATAGTGTCTAACATAAATTAAGCTATATCACAGATATATATGTAAAGGAAAAACCATACTGTGTATAAGGTTCAGTACTATCTGTGGTCTCAGAGATCTGCTYGGGTCTTGGAGCATATCCCTTGCAGATAAGAAGAGACTACTGTATAWCTTTAAGTCCAGTGATATCAGTCCTATAGCTTTGTTGTTCTCCTTAAAGACTATGTTAGAGCTGGATGCTGTCATACATGCCTATAATCTGAAGATTTGGGAGGTGGAGGCAGGAGGATTGCAAGTTCAAGRCCAACCTCAGCAAATTAGTGAGATCCTGTCTCAAAAAAAAAAAAAAATCTAAAAAAGGACAGAACATGTGGCTCAGTGGCAAAGTGTCCTTGGGTTCAATCCCAGTATCACACACACACACACACACACAAAAAAAAAAAAAAAAAAAAGATTGTGTTGATTATTTTGGATCTTTCCCCTCTCTACATAAACCATAGAATCAGTTGGTCAATGTCCACAAAATATCTTGCTAGGAGGCCCATCCCCTTGGGCCTCTTATAGTGTCCTATGCTAGAGCCAACTGTGACCCCGAACCATTGCTTGGCCTCTGTGTCTGTAGGCTGCTGGAACTGAAGTGTGTTGCACAGCRGAGAAAAAAATTAACTGCTAGGATTTTTATTGAGATTGCATTGAATCTGTAGACAGATTTGTACTTTTCAATGTGCAGGTCTTCCACATCTTTCTGTCAAATTTCTCCATAAACTAATATTGGTCGATGCTACTTGTATTAGTCCATTTTTAATCACTGTGACAAAATACCTGAAGCTGGGTATTAAAAAAGAAACTTATTTAGCTTATAGTTGTGGAGGCTGAAAGTCCAAGATCTGGTGGCCACACTGGTTCTGTCTCTGGTGAGGTCCTAATAGTAGATGGTATCATGGCAGAAGCACTTATAAGAGTGAGAGATAACATCACAAGACAGGAAGCCAGTGAGCAATTCAAGGATCAGGTTTAGGCTTTTAAATAACCTACTCTGCCAAAAATAACTCAGGGTCCCATGAGAACTATTAATCCTTTTTTTTTAGGGCATACTCCCAATGACCTAAGGACCTCCCAATTGGCCCCAATACATCACCTCTACCACATCACTGAGGACCAAGCCTCTAACACAAGAACATTCTTTTGACAAACCACATTGAAACCACTGCACTACAATAAATGCTTTTTAAAAAATTTCAATGGTGATTGTTGCTAATATATAGAACTACATTTTTTGTATTGTGATATTATATACTGAAACCCTACTAAAGTAGTTCACTTATTTGTGTTTTTTTTTTTTTGTAGATTCCATCAGATTTTCTACATACACAGATAATCACATCACTTGTGAGCACAGTTCATCTTTTTYCCCTGGCTTTCTGTTTCCTACTAGTCTTTCTACATATCACTTCATAATGCTTTCTCTTCCAGACAGACACTATCACTCAGAACTCTCCCTCTCTTAGATCAGTCAACTAGGGACTGTACCTTGAACATAATAGATGTCAAAAATGTTGCTCAGTGCGGTAACACAAGCCTGGAATCCCAGTGCCTGAGGCTGCTGAGGCAGGAGAATATTGAGTTACAAGCCAGCCTCAGAAAAAGCGATGTGCTAAGCAACTCAGGGAGACCCTGTCTCTAAATAAAATACAAAATAGGGCTGGGGATGTGGCTCAGGGGTTGAGTCCCTTGAGTTCAATCTCCAGCATCCCCCCTCCAAAAAAAAAACAAACAATGTAAATGATCATAATTATATTGGTAAAATGTATATTATGAAAAAAATCAAAATAAATGGCATATGCAGTTTCAATCATTGTCATGAATTTTCACAAACTCTCTCTTTAGTATCTAAAAGACTTCTATCTGTACTTAGGTTTTTAGGTTTATCTGGTGTGTGTGTGTGTGTGTGTGTGTGTGTGTATTTTTTTTTTTTTTTGTGCTGGGAATTGAACCCCAGGCCTTATACAAGCTAGACAAACCTCTACCACTGAGCTAAATCCCCAGTCCTAGTATATACATTTTAAAAATTATAATATTCAACATCTTAGATGTATCAGCCAAATCTACTTTCTTTTCCTTTTTATTATGGAAATTTTCAGACATGCAAAATTAAAGAGACTACTCTAATAAACACTCATATATCCATCACCAAGCTTCAACAATAATCAGCTTTCTCCACTGTCTTAAGCAATACAAAATGTTTCATTTGTTTTATGCAACACTTATTTCAGCGMAATATATCTTTAAAGATGCCTTAAATCATACTTTATATTCTAGCTGTTCCTACCACATCCTAGGCTATAATATGAGGTGCATCCTCCTATCCATTCAGAATTATGTCCCCACCAGTGCCTTCCATTTTCTCTTGAAATGACTTTAGTGTAACCATTTACTTAAAGTTGAAGCCAGGTGCAGTGGCATTTGCCTGTAATTCCAGCAGCTCAGGAGACTGACACAGGAGGTGAAGTTATAGGTATGACTCAGTAACTTAGYAAGACCCTAAGCAACTTATTGGGACTCTGTCTAAAAAATTTTAAAAAGGGTTGGGGATGTAGATCAGTAGTAAATTGCAACTAGGTGAAATCCCCATACCCCCTCAGTACTTACCCAGATGACAAGTTATTGTCAGATGAAGTCATTAATAAAGTAGTGAAAACTTACACATATAAGTAAAATGTAAGGATCTACAATACATTTTTAAAAAGATTAGAAGGAATGCAAGTTCAAAGGCATCCTCAGCAACTTGGTGAGGCTCTAAGCAGTTCAGCAAGACACTATCTCTAAATAAAATACAAAAAAAGAGTCAGGGATGTGGCTCAGTGGTAAAGTGTTCCGGGATTTAATCTCTGGTACAAAAAAAAAAAAAAATGCCTAGAGTTGCTGTCTACACTGTATAAAAGAGAAGGTTGGAAAACTAACATTGAACTCCTATATTTCACATACACTAGTTAGTTTGCCTATTATTTCATCAATCTGAAGCAGGTAAGTATGATAGAATTAAGAATAAATGAGGGCTGGGGTTGTGGCTCAGTGGTAGAGCACTCACCTAACAAGTGTGAGGCCCTGGGTTGGATCCTCAGAACACATAAAAATAAATAAATAAGTAAAATAAAGGTATTGTGTCCAACTACAACTGAAAAATAAATATTAAAAAATAATAAATGAGAAGAGATTAAATTAGTTAAAATGGATAAATATTAATTTGAGAAACATTTATTTCCAGCCACTGTGGCACACACCTGTAATTTCTGCTACTTGGGAAGGTGAGGTAGAAGGATTGCAAGTTTGAGGCCTGGGAAACTTAGACAAAAAATAAAAAGGGTTGGGGATGTAGCTCAGTGGAGAGTGCCCCTGTTAATGCCTGATACCACAAAAGATACATTTTGACCATCTTTCTGTCTTCCAGATACAGTACTACATAATATAATGATGAATAGGGTAAAATACCTGTTCTCATAGAGGTCAAAGTCTAGATGAGATAAAATATAATTACAAAAGTATAATAAGACTTATTACACTTTTAGTTTATAAAATGTTTAATTAGATAATGTGAAAGTTTATAAACACAGAAAAATAAACTGTGTGATGTTAAAAAAATGTGCCTTCTGTAAGAAAAGCTACGAATYACAAGAGGGGGTTTCAAATTTTGGGGGTGCAGGGCTAAGGTGTGGGCCTATTACTGAGGATCCTAGACAAATTTTACTTATATGAATTATTTTTGTAGATATGTAATGTATTAGAAACTTTAAAATAACAATAGTAGTATCATTTAAAATTTTTATTTTTGGATTGTTCATTGCTATTATATAAAAATAAAATAATAGACTTTTATCCTAAAAATATAAAAATAGCAAATCTCATTGTTATAAACATGAAAAGATTTTATGAAAAATAACTATATTTTCCAAAAAAAATTAATCAGAGAGAGCGGCACTGTTTTACATTTTAATAAGTCTCTTTAATTCTGGGTTTATCTGCTTCTACATTCAAACTATTGCAATATATTGTTTTGAATTAAATCTACAAAGAAAACATAATATCATACAGATATATATTTGGAGAAGGAAGGACTTCATTGATTCTTAAAGGGTCCAGGGGACTCCCAGGGTTTTGTTTGGTTCTGAAGATTAAACCCAGAAACATTTTTACTACTGAACTACATCCTCAGCCCTTTTTATGTTTTTGGTTTGAGACAAGGTCTCACTAAGCTGCTTAGGGCTTTGATAAGTAATGACATCATCATCATCATCATCATCATCATCATCATCATCATCATTATTTTATTTATTTTTGGAGGTACTAGGGATTGAATCCAGGGCCTCAGTGTGTTAGGCAAATGCTCTACCATTGAGCCATAGCCCCAGCTCAGGGTCGGGTAAATTGCTGAGGCTGGCTTTGAACTTGTGGTCTTCCTGTTTTAGCCTCCCAAGTCATTGAGTAGCAGGGATTACAAGCATGCCCTACCACACTCAGGTGAACTCCCGAGAGTTCTAAAAGAACATTTTAGATCTGCTGAATTACAGACAAGAACATCCTATCAGATCATGTTTGTCATGCTAGAAAGGAAGTGGTTACACTATACATTTACTCACAGTATTTTAGAATGCAAAGTGAAAATCAGTTTAACAATTTCTTAAACTCAGTATAAGAAGCCAAAAGATTTTATATCTGAAATCTCATAGGTTTTTTTTGAAGCTAGTGTTAAATAATTTTTCTTCTGAGTAGGCACATGCAATGTTCTTGGCCACCTTAAAGGGGCAGCAGCAACATAACAATTCAGTCCCACTGCACTTTCTAAATGAAAGCTCAGGCAGACTAGATGAATTGTCATCAAGAATAAAATTGGGCTGGGACTGTAGCTCAGRGCTAGGGCTATAGCTCAGTGGTAGAGTGCCCACCTTGCACACATGAGGCACTGGGTTCGATCCTCAGCACCACATAAAAATAAATAAAGATATTGTGTCTATCTACAACTAAAAAAATATTTTAAAAAAGAATAAAATTAAGCCAGTCATGGTGGCGCACACCTTTGTAATCCCAGCAGCCGAGACAGGAGGATTGAGAGTTCAAAGCTAGCCTCAGCAACAGCRAGGCACTAAGCAGCTCAGTGAGACCCTGTCTCTAATAAAATACAAAATAGGGCTGGGGATGTGACTTAGCAGTTGAGTGCCAAAAAAGAAAAAATAATAATAATAAGATTAATGTCTGCACACACATGAAAGAAAGACAGAAATATAATTAAACACTAACCAAAAGGTAAGGTTGAATGTGGTTCATCAATAAGAGTTTGGTCACAGTTAAGGATGATAAAAGATGGGATGATAAATGGATTTAGTAAGCTAGTCTAGAATATTAAATATTCATGTTAAATGAAGGTAAAATATTCACCAGAGTTTATAGGAAATATTGCAATACTAATATAGGCTGTATGTGATTTATCAAAAGAGTTGCATTTTTTTTTCAAATTTGACAGATTAGATCTTTATTTATAAGACAGTATCTTTCTGAGAAGAATCTACCATGTGCCAAACATTATGCCCTTATGAATAAAAATGAATAAAAGATAAACCCTTATTATAAATCAAGTATCTTTGGTGAGAAAAATAGACA